ACAGGTGCCTGCCACCACGTCCAGAAAATTTTTTGTATTTTTAGTAGAGACAAGGTTTCATTATGTTGGCCAGGCTGGTCTTAAACCCGTGACCTCATGACCTGCCCACCTTGGCCTCCCAAAGTGCCGGAATTACAGGTGTTAGCCACCGCACCCAGCCAGGATTCCCTATTTAATAAATGGTTTTGGGAAAACTGGCTAGCCATATGCATGAAACTGAAGCTGGACCCCTTCATTATACCTCATACAAAAATTAACTGAAGATGGATTAAAGACTTAAATGCATGACTTAAAACCATAAAAACCATAGAAGAAAACCTAAGCAATTCCATTCAGGTCATAGGCATGGGCAAAGACTTCATGACTAAAACACCAAAAGCCATTACAACAAAAGCCAAGATTGACAAATGGGATCTCATTAAACTAAAGAGCTTTTGCACAGCAAAAGAAACTATCATCAGAGTGAACAGGCAACCTACAGAATGGGAGAAAATTTTGTAACATATCCATCTGACAAAGATCTAATATCCAGAATCTACAAGGAACTTAAATAAACTCACAAGAAAAAAACAACCCCATCAAAAAGTGGATGAAGGATATGAACAGACACTTCTCAAAAGAAGAAATTTATGTAGCCAACAAATATATGAAAAAAAGCTCATCACCACTGGTCATCAGAGAAACAAATCAAAACCACAATGCGATACTATCTCACACCAGTTAGAGTGGCAATCATTAAAACGTCAGGAAACAACAGATACCAGTGAGGATGTGGAAAAATAGGAACACTTTTACACTGTTGGTGGGGAGTGTAAATTAGTTCAACCATTGTGCAAGACAGTGTGGTGATTCCTCAAGGATATAGAACCAGAAATACGATTTGACCCAGCAATCCCATTACTGAGTGTATACTCAAAGGATTATAAATTGAGTACATACCCAAAGGATTATAAATTCTCCTATGAAGACACGTGCACACACATGTTTATTGAGGCACTATTTATAATAGCAAAGACTTGGAACCAACCCAAATGCCCATCAATTATAGACTGGATAAAGAAAATGTGGCATATATGCACCATGGAGTACTATGCAGCCATAAAAAAGGGATGAGTTCACGCCCTTTGCAGGGACATGGATGAAGCTGGTAACTATCATTCTCAGCAAACTAACACAGGAACAGAAAACCAAACACCACATGTTCTTGCTCATAAGCGGGAGTTGAACAATGAGAACACATAGACACAGGGAGGGGAACATCACACACTGGGGCCTGTTTGGGGGTAGGGGCATGGAGAGGGATAACATTAGGTCAAATATCTAATGCCGGCAGGGGTTAAAACCTAGATGACAGGTTGATGGGTACAGCAAACCACCATGGCACAAGTATACCTATGTAACAAACATGCATGTCTTGCACATGTATCCCAGAACGTAATGTATAATTTAAAAAATTAAAAATAAAAAAAGAATCGAAAAACACATTTGGAATCTGGATTTTTGCCCAGATGGTCTTAATTTCAGTCAAACATTATTTCAGTAGTTTTCTATTCTCAAACACACATCTGATCATTTCTTTCCTTTGTCTCAAACCCTAAATGTATTCCCCTGTTCTTAGAATCACTTCCAATTTCTTAATTGGATCTTTTTTTAAATCTGGCTCTTAGATACCCATAAACATGATCTCTCATCCCCCTCTTCCCTCAAATTCCATGTCCTTCCTCACTTACAGATATCTGTCTGGGCAGTTTCATCCTGCTTGTCTCAACTTTAAGGAAACGTCTTTGACTGATGTGTATGCTCTCCCATGTCTCACAAGAGACAGCAGGCATTCGATGAAGATTTATTCATAAATTAAATGAGTGTTTTGTAGATGCCACTGCTGAGATTTCTATTTAACTAGGAACTCTATCACTAGATATAATTAATTAATGCACATATACATATTTAAAAGAATATAATGGCAACAAGGCTATGCTTTTAGCTATGTAAATTAAGTATGGCTAACATTATTCTTTGACATAATAATAATAATACCCTTCTCTAACAGTGAAAAGGCTACATTTTAATAAGGATGAGAATGACAAAGAACAAGCTGAGCTGTATAGTAATGAATTTGGGAGGAAATCACTCAGCAACAGTAAGGGAACTGAAGAATGTATCACCTCCTTATACCCTGCTAATGTAAATGTAAGCATAGGGAGCAGAATGCTATTTAATATGTCTTATGCTCTGGCAAATCAAGGGTAATCTTTTACTCTGGGAACTTCCAAGCACAGGTGGTAAGTAATGAGAATTAGCTTGACATTTTCAGACATCCCTCTACATCCACACATTTAGCATACCAGTGTAATCTAAAATCATGCGGACTCTCATTCCCTGAAATAAGAGATGCAGCAATTCTTTCCTTCATTGATATATTAACAATACACTATCTGCTTTATATGGAGCTCACTTAATGACCCAGAATAGAGTCCACCCTTTCCCTGGAATCTCTTCTTTATTACAAGACCTTTGGTTTGCTTCTGTAGTAACTTCAAGGTTGGAAGTTACAAGAAGAAGTGCAGAAGGACAAAGCATATTCAGCTAAAGGGTAAACTCTCCTGAATCCAAACATTTAAAAACTGTTGAACATATAGTCTTAGAGATATTTTTCACTTTCATATTACTTAGCAAAAATAGACAGAAAATAACTAGATATTATTTATTTTAATAAAACATTGGACAAAGCATGTTTTGATTTGTATGTAACAATTATCTTTTTTTGTCATATTTAAAAATAACTTCCAGGCTCATTTGATGAAGGGGTGCAAGTTTCTTGCAGTAAGCCCAGTTCAGTGGTTTGTCCAGGAATCTCCATTTGTGCTTGTCCTCCTCTTTATGTCTGATATAACTATTAATAGTTCCTACTTTCATTCTCCAAGTATCCTAATCTGTGATGGATACTACAATCTCCTTGATTAATGTGTAGATTCCTTTTAGCCTTTCCCAATTCTCAGATTGCCTTGAAGTTAAATGCTTCCAATGATAGAATCAGAAAATAGAACAGTGACTACTATTCCTGAAGGCCTCTGGTGTTTTCCTGAGTATCAAGCTTGGACTGATTAAATTCTCATTGCCTATTAAACTGTTTTCCCTGGATGGCATCATAATCATTCACTTAGACTCTCCTGACTACTCACTCATTCCCAGAACACCCAGCAGAAGTAGACAGTCATGTCAGATAGGACATTGGTGTCATGATTTTCTCCTTTATTATACAGAGTCAACAGGACACTGACATAGGTTAGTATTATGCTAGCCTTAAAATAAACTCAGAATAGATTCACATACTCCGAAATATATTCATGTGAATTTTATTTTTCTCATTCGCTAATGTAAGATTCTTGCAGATTCATGTAACAGAGTTTGGTGACAATTCTGGCAATAACATTTTCTTTTTAAAATCAGACTTTGACTTTTCTAGTTAGTGTAATTTGCTTCTAAATTTATTTATAAAATTAACTTATTACTCATTTAACTGATTATTTAATTCAATTAATTTATCAAATTAATTTAATACTCAGGAGCCTATCTTGATTTGATGAGCATTTTAATAAAAAAATTAGTAATAGGAATAGTTTATGGCAGTCTCATTTGAGAGTTTTCAAGAGTCATTGGCATTTAAAATTCCTTATTCACAAAGTATTCTTTTGTCATGATGCAAAGGCAATGCATTAGATGGCCAAATCTGACCAGCAAATGTGTGCTGTTTAATTTTACCATATTAAAATAAAAATAACTATTAACCATCTTTAAGTAATGTGAGATTTTGCAGGAGAATGCCAACTGCTGGGTCATGAAGATTCACAAGGTGAATGACCGCAAGGCTGAATCCTACCTGGATCCCACCATTAGACGTTCATCTTTCCCGAATCAAGCACCCCCAGTGCCTCCTACAGTCCATCTTTCCTAAACGTTTGTACCACTGTTTTATTTTGTTGGCATTTGCTTTAGAAAATCCCACACAAGACTTAATTTCTAGATAAAATATGTATGTTCTGGTAAAGAATTATTCATGAATTCTTAAAATTAGTGAGAAGGAACAAATCAATTTATACCCAAGCCATACTTTGATGAAGGAGGAAGTGGAATGGATCTAAGGAACTGAGATCCTCAATGAGAGGGAAGAGAAAGTCTTCCATGGGGACAACGGTCCCAAGTCACAAACTGGAGTAGTGCCTAGAAAGAGATTACCAGTTGAATGGGGGTCAGTTGACCTTTAAGATCACTTCCAATTAAAAATAATGATAATAATGTGCAATGCTTTGGCTTTGTCATTTGTCATTCCATCATAATCAAAATTGGATTTTTTTTAGGTATGACTGGCTGAGTAGGCACCCTCTCTCATTCAATGTGCATCACTCCCAGAGATATATACTTTGGGAAAAGAGCACCTCATAGTGCATAATCCTTATTAAGTCAAGTGTTTATAAAAGTCCTACTCCCTGGCTAGACTCTAAACTTTAAATTTTCACCATTCAATAATTTTAACATGTCAGCTATATATATATATATTTTAAAAAATCAACATGTTTTCCTTCTTTTTGTCTTGCAGAAGTTGATGCAGGTAAAGTATAAAGAAACATGTTTTTTTTTTTTTTTTTTTTTTTTTTTTTTTTTTTAAATTGCTTTTTGGGGAAGAAAATGTCCCTTCAATTATAAAGTCATATCTTTAAAAAACAGGAAAATGATTGATAGATAGACACCTACATAGATAGACTTATAAAGAAATATTTACTTTCACATAGTTACAGTTTTGTGGTACTACGTTTGTTTTATTAAAAATTCAAACTTTTTTTCAGATTGAAGCATAATTTATCTTCCATTAACGAAAACGAGGATCTTAAATCTGACATATGATTACAATTAAAATGCTGAAAGGAGTTATGAGGCATTTAAATCATCCTTGAATTAGAATGTTTGCAGCATATTTCTCAGAGTTGACCTTAACACATTACCTTTGTTGCAGCATCAAAGCAGATAAATCCTGTGCTGAAGTCAATTGTGAGTCCCATTAGATGACTTTCTAGCACACATGCATAGGTCTTGCACTAGGTAGAACAGAAAGTATTGTTACTTTTCATGTTATTGATGCAATATTAATATTAAGAACTATGTGACAGCTTCTGCAGTAAGTACTTCATACAATATCTAATTTAATATTAACAATAATTGGATAAAGAAGGGAGGATTATCAACATTTTAATGTTAACGAAACAGAAGCTGAGAGTGTTGGGTTTTATTTTTAACTTGCCAAGGTGTATGCCTGGCCAAGTTTCCAATCCTGCTCCCTCTAGTTTTGTCTTTACATTGTGCTACACTGTTGGTTTTTGCTGTATTGACAATAAAGGTTGTATATAAAAAGTTTTAGGTGTAGGCAAGTTTATGTTAAGTCATTATTTACTGTAGCCAACCATTTTCATTAAACAGAAAGATAACTATTGTTAAATAGCACTGTCTTGAATTCTCAGGATATCAATGTTATGGATATTATTAAACCACATTCTCATGCACACAAATACAAATTTAGTAACCAAGCCAAAAGAGTAGATCTTGATCTTAAGAGTCTTTCTCTGTTCTTCAATGTTGCACAAGATATTCCTACAGATACGTACCACTTTCCAATTTATTTATTTAGAACTACAGACAATTTTTAAAAATCAACAAGTAATTACTTTCACAGTGAGGTCAGATAATATTATAATTTTTCTTTTTTCTTTTTTTTTTTTTTAAATAGAGTCTTGCTCTGTCACCCAGGCTAGAGTATAGTGGCACAATGTCAGCTCACTGTAATCTCTGCCTCTTGGGTTCAAGCAATTCTCTTGCTTCAGCTTCCAAGTAGCTGGAACTAGAGTCATCTGCCACTGTGTCTGGCAAATTTTTGTATTTTTAGTAGAGATGGGGTTTCACCATCTTGGCCAGGCTGGTCTCAAACACCTGACCTCATGATCCACCCACCTCAGCCTCCCAAAGTGCTGGGATTACAGGCGTGAGCCCCTGTGCCCAGCCTAATTTTTCATATTAAATATGGATACCGAAATATAAAGAAAACAGGATATAAATCAAATATGAAATAAAAACTTGAGGTTTATATATGCCACGATGTATTGTTACATCTACAGCCAGTTTTATCTGCATTTAATTTTAAATCATGGTGGGATATTCCAATCATGAAAAATATCTGTGATTCATGTACAAGACGAGAGAGAAGTAGAGACAGAGACAAAGAGAGAGAAGAAAAAAAGGAAGAGAAGTTTATCTGAAGTAAATTTTTAATGCCTATCCTTACATTGTATTTTTTTTTACAATACCGTATGTAAAACTGCACTAATTGAATCCCATTCTGAATGTAATCATAACTAGATACATCAAGTTGCCTTCACCAAAAATTACATTCTTGTGTTTAAGCCTTATTAGCATAGAAAAATTATAATGATGCAAAATTATTATTGGAGTTATATTTTTTTAAAAAAAGCAGACTAAAGAACATACTTAATGGGCCTCAAAAGCCCATTTTGGGGAGTAATTATATTTGTTTAATACATAGCATTGTGCATGCTTACATCCACCCATTAGCACTTTATTAAAACTATTATCAACATTAAGGAATGTTTAAGGCTATAAAATTTTCTCCTAATTTAGACATAATGGTTTGCTAATTTCAAGGACTGTCATTTAAACAAGAAAATGTCAGGTGAAAATAAATTCGGTGCAGCATATTAAAATTTTTCTATTAAGTTCAGCATTACAAATTAAATTAGATTTTTCTCAATAATCATTAAATTGAAACAAATAGATGCGCTATAAATTGAGACTCATTGAAGTCTCAATTTATATATAGCCTCAAGTTCTATCATTTATAATATTAATAGCATATCATGAGTATAGTTAACATATGTTTAATATTGAAATATTTAATTTGTTGTTTAATTTGTTTCCTTAAAAACAAATTATACAGAGAAAAATCAATAAATAAATTATCCTTTTTAAGGAAGTTTAAATGAGAAACACTTCGAAAGTCAATTCATTACTTTTTTTTCTGCTTGTTTTACAACAGAACTTATGTTCCTTCTTTATTTAATTCCTTACCAACTTTAATGGAAGTGATAAATTAAGAATATAGAAGAAAAACATGTAAGGTTCTTCACGTAAATATATTCACATCTTGAATTTGAAAGTAACACTACAAAGGTGTTCAGTCATTGATTTCTCATATAGTAAACAAAAAAAGTTATAAAATCTGTAGAACAACTAAAAGCTAAGAAGACATTAAATATTTTACCTTTCACTTCTGACATGTATCTTACACTGGCATTGTGAATGGGCAAGGAGATAGTCCATTGTATTTCAGTGAATATCAGTTTACAGAACACAACGCCCAGATTCAAAGATTTTATCTCTATTTAATTTATAAATATCAGGAGACTTAAAATAAAATACTAAATTGGAACCAAAATGTTAAAATTACCATGTAGTTGTTTCCAAGCAAAGTGGACTGTTGTAGAGAAATAATAATTTTGAAAACCTGAAAGTATAAATTTGAATAACAAAATTGTCAACTTGCATTCCATTAAATTATATTTTAATGCTTTAAATGGTCTTGGACCTTGACTTGGAATAAAAATCATATTTAATATATTTTTGTTTCCATTTTTGATATAATATATATTTTTTTGAATTGAGGTTCTATGAGCTAATTGTGGAAACCATTTTTTTTAGCTATTTAAGACTTTTTAGATGCATGAAGATAAAAGCAGAGTTATTGAAAAGAATCAGCTGAACAATTAAAAAAACTATAATTGGAATTTTCTTTCTGTCCTCTTCCTCTGATTGTAATGACATACTGGTACAACTTGATGTGTTGACTACAGAGGTTTGTGGTCAGAAAACAGAAATCAGTTCAACATGTTCAAAATATATGTATCCAACAATCCTATTTTAAGCAAACTTTCCAGAATAGTCAATGCTAGATAATTAAGTGTCCATGTGTGTATTTAGGTCCTTGCTCTATGGATCCATTTGCATGTGGCAAGCGCATGATAACCTTTCAGTTTGTCCACAGGTCTGTTTGAAGTCAGCCACAGAACCAACTTTGGGAGGCTGTTTCATTCAATGTTCTTGTGAAGACAGAGGCTGAGGGCTCTATAAAGTTTGATCTAGTGTATAACTTCACAGTTAAGAAACAAAGTTCAATAAATATCTGTTGACTACTCATGATGTGCAAAATGCACTAGACCATGGTTGGCACATGACTAAGATAATTCCAAACAATCTATAATTTAGTGCAGGGAATAACAAGCACATGTCACTGAAATACAAAACAGACTGAGTGTGAGCAACCCTTAAAGAAAAGACAAATAAATGGAAGAATCTTATAGATGCTGCTATAAATAAGTAGAAAATATGGTATAAATTTTATCACTAAACTATGCTATTTTAAAATCTATTTCCTATAATTGTATTTCCAATCAGATGTATCAGTTTTATGATTTTTGTTCTTATATGTTTTAATGATTTTAAGTAAAAATGTAATTGCTTTTCACGAATAGTATGAATGAAATTGATTAGTTTGCATTTTCTTTTCTGTAAAAAAAAAAAAAACAGACAAGTATGTTATATCGTGTTCAAAAGTGAGAAGAAGAGTTGTTTGAACAGGATAATTGTAGGAGGAGTATTGGCAAGCATTAGGCATGGTGGGCTGGAAATCAGGAACATGTTCCTGGATGATATGACCTTTGATAAAAAGTTTCAAAACCTCTATAAGGCTTTGAAGGACGGAGGCAAAGGGAAGGTTTTCTAGAAGAAAGAGCATTGTGAGTAAATGATGCCAAGAGATTGGAAATTAGGAGGTCATATTTGGAGAACAGGAAGTGACCATGTCAACAATTAATTAAATTAGAGTATTTTCTATATTAGATTTAAGTCAGAGTAATGTCTAATTAAAATTAGAAATATATTTTTGATTTGTAGTAGGAAATAGCCTGGAAAGATCAAGTTGTGGAAAAATTAAAATTTTATTCAGAGCTGTATTACTAGTCACTAAATAAAAATGACTAATTATGGAATGTATTTGAGGTCAAGACTCCTGGAACTGTATTTTTACACTACTTTGGAATGATATTAGAATTCTAGGGAAGTGGACATACATCTGAGCGAGCCACACATCCTGCGGTCCCACAGACTCTCACCTGTATCCGTTCTACTTCTAGAAAGGTTGCTGTCTGGAACGCTCTTTCCCACTGGGCGAGGTCACTTTCCAGCTCTACTGAGAAGTACAGGTCCTCCCCAGACTCAGACTGCACGGTGAAGCAGTGTTTCCGTCGGTCCAGCAGGTCACTGTCCTGGTGAAAACCTGGAGTTACACAGGCTGGCACACATCACTTCACATTGCTAACCTGGCCATTCCTGACTGGAGCAAGGTGTGGAAGCCACAGTAAAAAGATGTGAATTCACCATGTCTTCATTACAAATTATTCCAGAACTCCGGGCTTCAAAGCCAATAACTAACACATGACTTCTCTGTCTTTACACTGAAGCATGTCCGTAAAATAGAAGTTAGGGTTTCTGGCTTCAACTCTTACCAACAATATAACCACTAAAGCATTTAACATACAAGACTTGGTTTATTACTGTTCAAAGGGGTGAGACACTAACTCTTCCCTTCCTTACATAAATGTTATGATGTTGAAATTAAATAATGCTTGTGAACATGTTTGTAAATTTTAAGGAACTTTATAAGCAAACTGAAATATTCTTCTCCATGAGAAATGAAAAAGAAAATGAGTCTAATTTGTCTACAGCACTAATATTATTTAAAAAAAAACACATTATTTACCTTACTTGTGTAACTGTATTTCATTGTATCAAAAAGATGACTTTGATACTAACAATTTCTTGGTCTTACAAGGAATTTTCAACTAAAGTATTCACAAATTTACATGTATTCCAATTTAAGAGATTTTAACATAAGAAAAAAAAGTGAAGCAAATAATTTATGAAATAGAGTAACTCAATGCAACATGTCAGATATAGCATTTTAAATACAGTCATGTGCCGCATAAGGACGATTCGGTTAATGATAAACTGTATATTCAACAGTGATCCTATAAGGTTATAATGGAGCTGAAAAATTCCTATTCTCTAGCAATGTCATAGCCGTTGTAGTGTCATAGAGCAATGCATTACTCATGTGTTTGTGGTCATGCTGGTGTAAACAAACCTGCTGTGCTGACAGCTATATAAGTGTGGCACATATGATTATGATATATGCTACATAATAATCATGATAAGAAAGACTATGCTACTGGTTTATGTATTTACTGTATTATAGTTTTATTGAATTTTTTAGTGTACTCCTTCTATTTATTAAAAAAAATAGTTAACTATAAAACAGGCTCCGGCAGTTCCTTCAGAAGGTATCCAGATGGCAGCATCATTACCATCAGAGATGACAGCTGCATGCATGTTATTGCCCCTGAAGATCTTACAGTGGGACAAGATGTGATGGTGGAAGACAGTGATATTGGACATCCTGACTCTGTGTAGAACAAGGCTCATGTGTGTTTTTCTGTCTTATTTTTTTAAAAAATTTTAAAAAGTCAAAAATAAAAAATACATTTTTAAATTTAAAAGTAGAAAAAAAAGTAGAGAATAAGGATATAGAATAATTTTGTACAGCTGCATAACATGTTTGTGTTTTAAGCTAAGCACTTTTACAAAAAAGTCCAAAGTTGAAAAAATTAAGTTTGTAAAGTAAAATATATTACAGTAAGCTAAGGTTAATTTATTATTGAAGAAAAAAATTATTTTTTATAAATGTAGTATAGCCTAAGTGTTCAGTGTTTATAAACTCTATAGTGCTGTACAGTAACAGCCTAGGCCTTCACATTCACTCACCACTCACTCACTGACTCACCCACAGCAACTTCCATCCTGCAAGCTCCATTCATGGTAAGTGTCCTGTACCTGTGTATCATGTTTTAAAAATCTTTTAGACTGTACTTTTACTTTACTTTTTCTATGTGTAGATGTGTTTAAACAACTACTTACCATTGTGTTACTTTTGCCTACAGTATTCAGTATATTCATATGCTATACAGCTATGCAACCTAGGAGCAATGGGCTGTACTGTATAACCTAGCTATGCAGTAGGTTATGATGTCTCAGGTTGTGTAAGCAAATTCTGTGGTGTTCGCACAACAGTGGAACCATCTAACTGAGAGGCATTTCCTAAAATATATCTCGATCATTAAAGGACTCACGACTCTATATATGCTGTATATATGCAGTGTACTGAAAACTGTCAAAGGGTTAATCACTGATATCTGTAATCATTTCTCCTAAGGAGGGATGTAAGTGTATCATTATTAAACACCCAAAATACTAGATGGAATTCTCTGCTTTGGCAAGTGTTTAAAATATAATAGCTATTTTCTTTGTTTCCCATTTGCAGTCTTATAATCTCTGGAAGAGAGCTAATGGAAGGCAGTTACTTTCAGGGTTGTAGAATTTAGCTCCGACCCTTGTTGCCAGTAGATGCTCAGAAAGCTAAAATGATGATAAATGGTGTGCTTATTGATTTTCCTACTCTGTCTGAAAGGAGAAAAAAATGAAAACATAATATTTTTGTGAGTACAATCGAATGATAAATTATAAATACTTTTTAGCAGTTTTGGGGTTATAATGTCTATGGAGGCAACAAAGAGAGATAATAACCACACAAGTAAATATGTTAGTACAAATTATTGTAAGCGCCATTATAAAAAAAATAAGAGGCCGGGGGCGGTGGCTCACACATCTGTAATCCCAGCACTTTGGGAGGCTGAGGCAGGCAGTTAACCTGAGGTCAGGAGTTCCAGATCAGCCTGTCCAATATCGTGAAACCCCATCTCTACTAAAAATACAAAAATTAGCCAGATGTGGTGGCGCATGCCTGTAATTCCATCTATGCAGGAAGCTGAGGCAGGAGAATCACTTGAACCTGGACAGGGAGGTTACAGTGAGCCAAGACTGTGCCACTACACTTCAGCATGGGCAACAAAAGGGAAACTCCATCTCAAAAATGGAAGAAGAAGAAGGAGAAGAAGAAGGAGGAGGAGGAGGAGGAGGAGGAGGAGGAGGAGGAGGAGGAGGAGGAGAAGGAGAAGAAGAAGAAGAAGAAGAAGAAGAAGAAGAAGAAGAAGAAGAAGAAGAAAAGAAGAAGAAGAAGAAGAAGAAGAAGAAGAAGAGGAGGAGTAGGAGGAGGAGGAGGAGGAGGAGGAGGAAGAGGAAGAGGAAGAGGAAGAAGAAGAAGGAGGAGGAGGAGGAGGAGGAGAAGCAGCTGCGCAGGAAGAGGTAGAGGAAGAAGAAGGTATTACATCACAATACATTGAAAAGCCAGAGGAATGTTCTCTAGGAAATAAATTTTAAATAGTGACTTAAAATGAGTAGAAGATTAAAGATAAAGTATAGAAAAGGGTGTTCTTTCCAGAGAGTGGATGGGGCTGGTTGGGACCAAGTGAGGCACTTCAGAAATTCAAAAAAAAAAAGTGGCAGAAACATTGAGAGCTAAAGCTAGGAAAAGACATGGGATGATTGGTCTGGTTATAAATGTTGGACTTGAACACAGTATAATGACAAGCTACTATACCAAAAATTTTAGTATGCCCTCTCTTTATACTGCAGATATTTCAACATCTACATTAGCTTTTTAAATTGATAAATTGGCACAGAAACTGTAACTCAACATTGCAGTTTCCAGAAACTTTGCCAATTTTATGGTTTATTAAATTGGCCTCAATCTACATTATAATAAAAATGTTATCTAATGTCATTATTAGTCAGAAAAATTTGGTATTTTTTCCTTTTCATAAATCACATGTAGCAATAGGATCTTAAAATGGCCTTCATGTAAGATTTTCTATTCTCTTGGCAAAACTTTTCTCCTTTACTCTTTTAAAACTCAATTTAAGATCTTCTGTTGTATTACCCAAGTGGTGATTCTCTCTCAGACAAAGGATCCTCTAATCAACTCTGCAAATACAGTTTCAGCATATCTGAAAACTTCTTGCAATTTCCTATTGTTATTTATAAGATACTTCTCATGAACTGACTCATACCACAAATTGCATCTGAGCACCCAGGTCTCATTTTAGTGAGGGAGAGAAATATGTTAAAATAATGAGCATATGACAGCATAACATGCTAAGGAAGCAGAATAAGGAGCCATAGATCATCTTGAGGTAAAGTAGGAGGGAGAAAGTTGTATTGTAGGGAGAGACTGTAGTACTATCAAGGACTTAAAGACAAATGCAAGAGCAATGTGATGCAAGCCCTTAAAAGACCAGATGATCCTGCTAAGAAATTCACAGAATGCACCTGCCAGGAAAAGATATTGGAGAGTTTCAAGTGAGAAGGAGGCAGCATAGACTGTAACTTTTAGATGGCTAAGAGTGGATGAGTGGGAAGAGTAGAAAGTTCAGAAAAAGCAGAAGATCCTTTATCAGAAATTCAGTGAAAAGTGACTATAGCTCAATCATTTTAAAGGTCTACTTTCAAAGTCATCATGTAAAATCATTGACACCAGATTTCTCTTACTAGAGTTTCTACTTTTGCTGCCTATAACATTTCAAAAGATTGTGTTCCTTTATGGTTGCAGTCATTATCAAGTTATATGCAAGTAATAATAAATATATATATATATATATATGTGTGTGTGTGTGTGTGTATGTATGTATCTGAAAAACTAAATAACATATTCTTAGAGGCTGGCATTGACTAGAAGTATTAGTATAATAAGGAGTATTTACACATGGTTATTCACATAGGTATAAGTAAGAATGTATATATTCCTCTTTCTCACCCTCATTCTCTCACTCACACGCATGCAGGAGCTGTCAGAAGGTGATAAGAATAAAAGCTCTAGCTTCAAAATTCTGTCTGGATTTGAATCTCCTCTCTTTTATTTATTAATAGGTAATCTTTGGCAAGTTCATTACCATATAATAGCTTCCTTCACTCATCACTAAAGTGGAAATAATTAATTGATCTGATGATTAAATAAGATACTATATTTAATTATTTGCTTAGTCTCTAATACTTGGAAGTACTTAATTAATGTTGGGTATTTCTGTTATCAGTGTTGATTCAATAAAATAAATATAGATAAATATTTGTATCATTTCCTAACTTGCCCTCTATGGCTTGCTCTCTGCATGCATTTCTCTTTTGTCAAAGTGTGACTTATACCCGAGTAGAAACAATAGCCTCCAGAATACTTTTTTGACAATTGGAAAGTATCATTTAATAATGATAATGATAATAATAATAGCTAAACACAACAAGAACACATTTTTTGCATTTT